TTCTGTTTGGGCCTGATGATTGGGCTAATTTTATTGGACTCTCATGGTTTGGGCCTCCTCAGGTCGGGCTTCAGATGCGGATTTGGGCTAGCACACATGCCTTCCTTCATGGTTTGGGCTTTCCCAGTTTTGGGCTCTACTTGGCTCACTTGGATTATTTTTGCACATATTATTTTATTCATTCTTTAGTTGGGCTTTTCTGGATTTTAGATTGGACTTATGTCGATTGCATTTCTTGGCTTAGAACATTTTTTCTTGATCGGATTATCTGACCTTAGGCCTTACCCTTGCGGGGGTTGAGGTTCCGGGAATGATTTTATTCCTAGATCTAAGTGGAATGTTTTGAGCCGGCTTTGTAATTGCACTTAAGTCTATGTTCCAATATCCGATAAGCGCTTCACATTATAGTTCTTTGGTTGTTGCTTACTTTTTATACAAGTGAGGAGCCTGTTCCCGCTTGTTTAGACGTTTGTATTCTTTGATTATTTAATAAAATGCATTAAAAAAAACAAAAAAACAAAAAAAAAACGTGACATGGTTGTGGCTTCCTAAAGAATTAACGATAAAGCCTTCACTTGAGATCTCCATCTCCAGCTTCACCTTCTTTCTTTAAGAGTGCTTTAGTCTTCTAGTTCAGCCCTTCTTGCTAAGATCCTCTTCTTCTTGGCTCCTTCATCTTCCTTGCTTCTTCATGGACTTCTTTGTTTAATCGAGAGAAAAGAATCCTTGCTTTTTAAGCAAGTGGTAAGAGGTTTAAGAAGAGATTTACAACCAGAATTGAGAGATGAGACACGACACGCAGGCTGTATTTAAAAACCAAACATTATAAGCCACAACCATGCACCATGCATACATTCATACATCACATCCATAAAAACCATACACCAGGCAAGCCGCGCTCGCCCCGGACCTAGTTTATTCTAAGAAAAATAAATTACAAGCCTAAAAATTATCAAATAATTTTATTTAACTTTATTCTAAAACTCCAGAATATCCAAAATTTAATTTGTAATTTTCCTGAATTTTAAAATAGTTAATTGCCGTAAATATAGGTATTAATTTCGAAATTGGGATTTTAATTCAAACAAAATACTTATACCTTTTGAAAATTAATAAAAAAATTCCTGAATGAGTAATCTGATTTTATAAGTCTGAAAATAAAATTTCCAGAATTTTTTAAATTTATTTTCAAAATTCTATATTTAAATACCCAAAATCGGACTTCAATTTTCCAAAATTTAATTCCGAGTTTCCAAAAATGAATATTTTCCAAATATATTCACTTTGGGTCCATTTTGTTCTGAAAATCAAATTTCCAGAATTAAATAAATTGTATTTTCGGTATTTTGGAATTTGTTTCCAAAAGGAGTTAAATTAATTTCCAAAATTAATTTAGAATATTCCAAATTTTCCAAAAATCAATATTTTCCAAAAATAAAGTTTTTGACTCATGTGTAATCTGAAAGCAATATTTTCGAGATTTTACTTAAATTTATTTTCAGTACTTTCTATTTATTATTTGGCAATCCATAAAACAATTTCCAAAATTATTTTTCTTGTACCATAAGTGTTCCAAAAATCATTATTCTCAGAATATTTTGATATTTTTACTAAATAATAAATTCCCATAATTTAAAATTAATTATTTAATTTTCGGGAATTAAACACCGAATTACCAAAACTGTTTTTCCCAAAAATTAATAAATAAATAATTAAATTACGAATTTAATTCTACAAATATTTATTACCTCTGAAAATCATATTCTCAAAAGGGGTGAGATGATCTCCTATTTATAAAGAGCATAATCCCCACTCGTATTCCTAATAGGAATGTACCTTTTAGAGTTTAGGAAGGAAATCAAATCTCATTCCTATTCTACTTAGGAAATTTCAAATGGCACTTTAAGGAAGTTTCCAATTTATTTTGTCAATTTTAATTATCATATAATTAACACAAAATAAATAATATAACATTTATTATATATACAATATATACAAAACACACACACACACACACACACACACACACACACACATATATATATATATATATATATATATATATAGATTTTGGTTCTGGTGAGAATGCGATCTTAGGAGAGAAATGAGAATGAATCTGGTTCTTTAGACTGTGCGATCTAAGGGTCAGGATTGCATCAAAATTAAGTGCAACAAAATGGTTTGAAAATGCATCATGTCGAAATGCATCATAATCCTTTGAAAATGCACTATCTCAAAATCTAAGCGCAGGATGCAATATGAACCGCACGATGCATCAGATCCAACGGCTAGATTTCATTCTCATTTCTCTCCACAAGGTGCATTCTTACAGGAACCGGCCCCAATAGATTTTGGTTCTGGTGAGAATGCAATCTTAGGAGAGAAATGAGAATAAATCTGGTGCTTTAGATTGTGAGATCTAAGGGTTAAGATTTCATCAAAATTAGATGCACCAAAATGGTGCGAAAATGCATCACGTCAAAATGCACCATAAACCTTCGAAAATGCACTATCTCAAAATCTGAGCGCAGGATGCAATCTGAGCCGCACGATGCATCAGATCTGACGGTTAGATTTTATTCTCATTTCTCTCCACAAGGTGCATATATATATATATATATATATATATATATATATATATATATATATATATATATATATATATATATATATATATATATATATATATAT